TTGATTTAATAGACGTCGGTATTGCTAATGGAAACCGGGAGTCAAAACTTATTATTATGCGAGGAACCGCGCAAAAAGAATTTGGAGTATCTCAATGAACGACGGCCTTTCGTTAAGGTCTTTCCACTTTGACCTAAACACGCTATTATTTGTTATTCAAGCCAATAGATCCGGCACGTTTGCAAAAAATGTTGTCTCTGCCAGGAATCGAGCTTGCGGTCCTTTAGTTCTATTTTTAGCGAGAATCTCAATTTTAGATTTTGTTTGCGCTAAACGCCAAAGCGCTACAGGTGACTCCTGAATTTACTTTAAATAATTTCATGCTCTCGCGAAAAATAGTCTTTTTGCGCGGCGACTCTCCTCGTCGATCAATGCGATCAATGCGATTTACACCCAAGTGCTGTATGCACTACGCAGGGTTGGGAAAGTTATCTAGTTTGTAAAAGTATCTAGTTACAGTTACAGTTTTTTTCACTGAAAAAGTAACTAATTACAGTTACAAGTTATCTTCAAAAATAACATGTGACAGTTATAGTTGTTTAGAAAGTAACGAGTCGTTACTTTTCAGTTACTTTTTTACAATAATTGTACTATTATTGTATTTTAGATTTTGTAATTGTGTAAATTCCTCCAATTGTATATAAAAGCGGTGGTTTGTTGATTATTATATTTCTCATACTGTATATAATTTTACAAATTAGATTCATTAATTTAAATAAGCAATTCATATTTATTCTTTAAGACTATTAATAACAATTATAAGAAAGTGAATGAATTTGATGAGAATAATAGATACTAAAAATACTAAAAGTAATCTTAACATCAAAAATTACATTTTTTCACTAAAAAATATATTAATATTTTATAAATAAAAACATACACTCATATGTTTTCTTAAATTTGCAATCAAAGTTCTACTTGCATAAATAATTTTAAACACGCAACAACGCATTTTCTAAATGCAGTTAGAATAACTGTATGCTTAAGAAACTTAAGTTTAATATATAAAGTAACCAATATATAAAGTAACCATTAAAGTAACTATTAAATTAGTTAAGCTAGTTATCAAACAAATGTAACCGAGTTAAATTACAGTTACAGAGGGCAAAAACGGAGCGAAGTTGAGTTACCAAAAAAAGATAACTGTGACTGTAACTTCGTTACAAGTAACAAGTTGCTTCTCAACCCTGGCGCTACGCCACGTGACATGTGTGGTTCGTGTTTGAATTAAACTCTCGCCATTCTTCGCATTGATAACCGAGTTCGTCGATGCATTTCGACCGCGTCGCTTCGCATTCGTTTCAATCTACTGCACCCGCGCGACCGCAATCGTTCCGACGCAATCGGTGCTCGGTGATTTGACAAAAAAGTACATGACAAATTCCGGTACGTCCCGGGAGAATATACGTCGAGAGTCGCTCGGGGGAAAACTCGCGAAAATCGTGGGGAGCACGGCGTTCTCGGCCGGATCGAGAGAGAGGAAAAGAAGACCTCTCGTCGGGCGCGCGTTCGTCAAGAAATAACATTTTTACAAATTCAAACTTTCTGCAGAAATGATAAATATACACGCTCAATTCAGCGTGAATGACGGTGGCCGGGATGACATTGTAACGTCAAGCGTGGGGAATCTCCGGAATTGGCAATCGTGCGAACGATGGTGAGATTTATCGCGAGCGGAGCGGATATTCGCGGATTTTTGCAGTTGGTTGCATTTCCGATGGTGTATTTCCGCGCCGCGTGCAAAGTATCGAGCCGTGTCGATATCAAACAGCACATGCGATCAACAACGTTACAACAACAGATCATGCGATCGCTGTTGTAACGTCAGTGCCGACGTCACGCGACGCAAATTTAGCACGTTCGATCGACGGCGACGTACTGCTCGATTTCTATTTGACAATACAACAGGCATGGCATCGGCAATTCATTCAGTCCCGCAGTATTAATAGGCCGCGCACGCGAGTGCCAATAAACCGTGATGCAGCGCGCAAGTGATAGCGTAATCTCCACATCGATACATAATAAGCCGAGAGCGCGGCAGCGGCAGGATACAATTATCGTTTGTTCGCGTTGATAAAATTTATCGTGTCGCCGCATGCAACTGCGATATCACTTCCGGGTCTATGTTAATCCGATCCGGCCGACTGGGATCGAAGAAAAGAGGCCCGGACTCGCGCGTATCTATCTTATTACCGTATCAAGTGCCGTGCAATCTGAAGATAGAAACCGGAGACCGCCTATAGCCCCGGAACTTCATGAATTATTTATCGCCACCGGGGCCACCGGACGCGGGAGATTCGTTTATTAAAACCACGGAAATTACTCGTACTTGATTTTCATGATTATGAGATATTCACTGACTCGAATACACGCGCGGTCGAATTAAACGCATGAATTTGTTGCACTCGCGCCGCGTATACGGCGCACACGATATCGCGTTGGATGTGCTTCCGCTTTGCGAGGGCACTGAACGATTCCGGGGTGGTTCTTGCCGGTTATCGCGAGCCGCGTATTTATCACGCGCATGTCGATAAACGGACGCGTGACTCCACTTTTCGAGCGTAGAATTAACGTCGGGGCGTCTTCCCGTCTCATTACCCGCGAAATTCGGCGTATCGTGTCTGCTTATACTTTCACGCAAACAACAAAATTCCACCGTCATCCCGAGCAAAAAATTCTTAGGGCTATCTTCATGAAGCATAAGGCCCCGATAAGGCTGAAAGTAGGATGCCCTGAAAAGGAATGCCTATCGTTATTATTACGTCAGGTCCCAAGATGGATCTTTTAGGGATACCTTAGATCTTACGAAACATGATTTTGATAAGGAAAACTGATGAGGATCTTAGAAGGGCTCATTACGAGGGCCTTAAATTTAACAAATAAGGCTTTGATAGGAAAAGCTGAGAAAAGCCTTAGAAAAATTTTTTAGGGATGCCTTAGATTTTGCGAAATAAAGCTTTGATAGGAAAAGCTGAGAAGTGTCTTAGAAGGATTTTTAAAGGATGCCTTAGATTTTGTGAAATAAGACTTTGATAGGAAAAACTGAGAAGGGCCTCAGAAGGATTTTTAAAGAATGACTTGGATTTAATAAGTAAGACTTTAACATGGACAACTGATACGGGCCTTGGAAGGATCTTTTAAGGATGCTTTAGATATACAAAGTCAAGTTTTGTTATAAAAAATTAATAAGATCTGAAGCATGTAATAAAATTATCATAGTTCGGTATTGTTTTAGCAGGTATGATCTATCTTATTCTTTTAAAGATTTTTTAATTATATCGCAATTAAAAATAAATTTTATTAGCTTTTTATTAGTTTTATTAGTTAATTTTATTAGTTGTCATATTCATTAGTCTTTTCTAAGGATTTTTCTAATGTTGCCTTCGTTTTGAAATGCAGCAAACTTTAATAAAACCAATAGCAGGATTATGCGTAAAATATGCTATATTTTCAAAATAAGAAATTCTTGTTGTATAGGTTATAAAGAACAAGGTTATAAAGAAATAAAGAAATTGCAGTCTAAATTTCTTGGAATGAAAGGAATGAATATTTTTACTCCAGCAATAATAAAAATATTTCGAGTCGCAATTGCAAGAGTGAATATCTCAAATTTTAGAATGGATTTTAACTCCATATCTTAATATGATCCCTCAATACCCTGAGGTCCTCTTAATATTGCCTCATAAAACCCCTGTTAATATTTCCTTTTAAGGCCTTTATAATATTGCTTTATAAGAACCCACTAAACTATTTGTTATAAATATATCTTGTAAGGTCCTTATCTTTCTATCATTACTAGCTCTGATTGATGAACTGAATGTTAGGGAAAAATAATCAGGCCCTTACCAAAGCCCTATTAATTTTTCTACTCGGGATGTCGGCCATCGTAGAATTCTGCTGCAGTGACTGATGGTAAATTAATATAAAAATACACAATTTCCGAATTGAAATAAATTTCTCTGTAGTACCAAAATCAACCAAAAATATATTAGTTTTAGAATTTTTGAGCATAACTTCCTTCATGGTAAAGAAAATAGATTCAAATTTTTCACGAGATGTTGTTTGATTGAAAGTATTATGCTTTGTTCGGTAAGCTACACCTGTTATCAAAACATATTATGATCTAATACATATCCGAATATATCCATACACTTCAAACCAAGTTATGCTCAAATATCTTAACCCTTTGTGACGCAGGCGGACACCCAGAGACCCACCTGTATTCCGTCAGTTGTTCATATTTTATGAGCAATTTTAACGATTTCTTAGCAATTATATTTTTTAGCTTCTTAAGACCCTAACTAATGTAAAATAATTGTAATTACTTATAAATGTTTTAAATTTATTATTGCTAATAGTAAATAAGTAAACACAATAAAATGTTTTTAAAAATAAATGTATGGCAAGGCGAGGAATTAATTATTTTTATCTGAGAATTAATACGCAGGAATTTGTTTGGGGCGCTGATTACGAATCCGTTGTCAGATTTTAGAAATTCAGAATAACGAATCCAATATGGTGGACATAAAATTAAAAATTCAACCAATTTTCGTGAAACTAGGTATCTAGGGTTTTCTTGGGTCACTGATTACGAATTCATTATCAGATTTTCAAAATTCAAGATGATCAATCCAATATGGCGGACGAAAAACTTAAAAAAAACTTCAATTTTTAGAAAAATTGATATTGAGGGATTTTTAGGTCGCTAATTATGAATCCATCATCAGATTTTCAAAATTCACGATGGCTGATTTGATACAGCGAGAATTTGAAAAAACCTAGATTTCTACGCCATTTTGAGTTTCGAAAATCTGACAACGGATTTGTAATTAGCGACATTAAAAACTGCTGGGTACCAGTTTCACGGAAATTGGTTAAATTTTGAATTTTACGTCAGCCATATTGGATTCGCCATTTTGAATTTCGAAAATCTGACAACGGTAATCGGCGACTCAAAAAATGCCTGGATACAAAATTTTATAGAAATCGGTTGAAAGGAAAAATTTGTGGCTCAAATGGTTAAAGGTAGTATATTTTTGGCCGGTACTGTAGATACTTACAGAAGATCGAAGCTCGTGAGAGTGTCGTGTCTACGCAGGGTCAACCCGATTGGTCCGACAAATTCGTCCTTTTTCGACGCAGATCGATATTCATTACTGAATCTGAGTTTTACCAGACGAGTTGACTCGCCGGTGCCGCGTGGATTTACTTGTTCGGTAATAAAAGGTTCATTTATATTTTGTGCGCAACTAAAGCCTGGCTGGTACCTTATTCATAAATAGCAGTGGAACGTGAAAGCATGGCCTACAGCTTACGTGCTGTCGCATTATTAATAAGAAACGCGACGTGTGTGTGTGTGTGTGTGTGGATGTGTGCGCATGTGTGCGGTTAAGAATAATGCCGCGCTGCCCAACCGCATTACGGAGCGGAAGGGTTAATATTGCGCCAAAGCTCAAAAACATCGACATCCGGTCGTCCGGCCGTAATAAATATAAAAACAGATCCTTTGCATCCTCCGCCGTGCGTCATTACCGCCTTAAATATTTGATGAACGGGAATTTTACTGAATTCGTCTTTGCCGTGCGTTTTCTGTTTGCTCGCCAGCCGAGAGCCCAAAACGATTGCCCGATTCGTTTCTAATCGCAAGAGTGGCTATCCTTGAGGCAGGCTGTCGTATCCGAGTTTCATAAACATTTCGTGCCTAGTGGACATTTGTCATACACAGGACAACGTTACGACGTCCTATAACTGGCCGACTTTGCTTTGCAGATGAGACGAAGGTACATTTAAGACAAATTCGACGCATTATGTTAGCGGAAAGCAGAGAAGTATCGCCGGAACGTGTAAGAGCAATAAAAGGCGAGAGATCACCTTCCGTTTCCCGAGCCACATTTCTGTCTACCATTGAAGAAAAGACCGAAATCAAAAGAGAAAATGAACGGAAAGACGAACAAGGTAAAACGAAAAGACGAACGAACGGATTCATGGTGAGAATATATTTGCGATTGTTATAGGGGCAGCAAAAAATTAATGAAATTTACGAGGCGTGATATCCTTGGTGACGCTTATACTCTCCTTAGGAATCTTCACGTATTTTCGGTAAGTTTGTAACTTATCGGCGCCTTTATTTCCGCCGTTATGTCGACAGAGTATGAAAATTTGTATCCGCGCCGATACATCCAGGTCACTGCGCTAAAGATCCGGGAGTTACCTCTTGATACGTCATGTACAGTCTGTCAAGTAAGAGCGTGGTCGGGTTAATTTATAAAAAAATATATTAAATAAAATTTTTAAATACATATATGCATTGTATTCGATGAGAAGAAGGATGCAATAATGTCAATAATGCGTCCAGTCACCACTGGCGTCGATAATTGCCTGACATCTCCGAGGCATGCTTTGGATCAAATTGACGGCGTATTTTAGCGGCAAGGATCTCCAAATCCGACGAATCTCGCAATATATAACTGTTCAAAGTGTACGTGCATTTTCCACGAAGCTTCTGCTTCTGCTAATGTATGCCCACACATTTTCTATGGGATTTGCATCGGGCGACTGCGACGGCCAATCCAATGTAATGATGCCAGATTGCTTCTTCCACTCGATATAGAGCTTGCTGCGGTGTTCAAGATCGTTGTCCTGCTGCAGAATCCAAACCTCATTTTTATCGATGAACCAACGTTTGGCAGACGGTAACAAAGCCTTTTTATATATTTTCAGCATTTTCTCGGCATTCAGGTTGTAGGTAAACAGGTGCAAAGTGCCAAATTCCTGCTTTGAGAAGCAGCCCTAAAGCATTTTTGCACCTTTACTTCGTGTTTTACTGTTCGCTGGACAAGCCTATTGGTGGAAGTCGACCAGGCTCGCGTGAGGATACAACGTGCCCATATAGAACATTCATGGTAAAAAATTATGTCGCTATAATCTTGATCGATGTTCTCGTGGGCCCAAGCGAGTCGCTTCGTCACATGTTTTTCGGTCAACAGAAGTTTCTTTATTTTGTTGCGCCATTTCAGGTCATGAGTGCGGAGATGAGTTCGGATAGTTTCAAGCGATATATCTAAACCTTCTGACTTTAATTTTGCTTGTCCTTGACGTAGTGTTAAAGCAGGATTCCAACTGAATCTTTCTTGCTAGCATCTTGCTTGCATCAAGGACAAAGTGTCCCTCTATCGGCTCACAAGAGATTCAGGGCGGTACCGTTTATCAGTTATAAGTAAGGCCGACCACGCTCTTACTAGATAGATTGTACTTTTTTTAAAAAAGCGTTCCAAATATTCCGACCCATGAGCATATGATTATTTTCTCGTTCATGTCTAAGAGGCGGAGCATGATTGAACAAAAGAAGCCGACATCAAATTAACATATTCCTCTTCATATACAGGTTGCGTGAAAAGTTCGCGAAGCGAAACTGAAATAAAGAATACTAATTCTAAAAAAATGATTTTCTTCTCAATATAGTCTCCATTAACTTCAATACACTTGGCCCAATGGCTCTCCAATAATTTTATTCCATCGCGGAAGTGTGTTTTGGAAGGTCTATGAAATATGCCTCTACGGCTGCTATAGCTTCTTCATTCGACAAAAAATGCTTTCCACGGAGGAATTGTTTCAGGTTTCGGAACAGATAGAAGTCGCTGGTGCAAATCTGGCGAATACGTGTGATGATCAAGCAATTTGTACTTCAATTCATTGAATTTAGACATTGACAAAACACTTGTTGAGCAGATGCGTTGTCTTGGTGAAAAAATGATTTGTTTGTGCTGCAAACCAGGTCTTTTCTCACGAATTTTTGCGTCCAATTGACCAAAAGGTTACAATAATATTCAGAGTTAATTGTTTTACCTTTTCCAGATAGTCAATTAACAAAATCCCTTTAGCATCCCAAAAAACTGATGTGAAACCTTTTTTTGCCGATCTTTCATGCTTTGTTTGCTTTGGAGCTGAACATCCAGCTTCAGTCCATTGTAAACGTTCCTGTTTCAATTTAAGGATCATGGTGATAGATCCAAGTCTCATCATAGTTATAAAACGACGCACAAAATCGGTTTTATTCTTCTTAAAACGATTCAAATGACGCTGAGAAATTTGTTTCGAGCGAGTTTTTGTTGAATTGTTAACGTATGCGGCAACCACTTTTCCAAACACCTTTTTATTTGTAATTCTTTATGCAAAATATGCCGTACCCGTTCATCTGAAATGCCTATGGTATGAGCAATTTCACGCTGTAGTCACACTTGGATCTTCAGAACAATAACACGTATTTGCTCAATGATTTCTGGTGTTGATGTCTTTTTGGACGTCCACTGCGTGGATCATCTTCAATGCTTGTACGACCACGTTGAAACTCAAGTGTCCATTTACAAACCATTGTTTTTGAAGGAGCAGATTCCCCTAACACATTTACCATCTCGGAATGAATTTCCATTGCCTTTAAACCTTTTAACAAAGAACTCAATCACTGCAAGGCTTATTGATGGAAAAGCTGCAGAGAAAAGCCTTTAAAAAATATTTTTTTTAGGGCCATGCCTATAGATTTTGCCCCGACAAATAAAAACTAAAAGGAGCGACTTTTGATAAGAGAAAAGCTGGAGAAGTGCATCTCTAGAAGGATTTTTAAAGGATGCCTCTAGATTTTGTGAAATACAGTACTTGATAGAAGAAAACTGGAGAAGGGCCTCAGAAGCGCCAATGTTTTACTGAGAATGGACTTGGATTAATAAGTAAGACTATTAACAATGGGACAACTGATAAGGGCCCTATGGAAGATCTAATTCTAGAGGATGGCTTTACGATTCAAAGTACGAGATCGTCTTGTTATATAAAAAAATTAATAAGATCTGAAGCATAGTGAAATAAAATAATCATCAGTTCGGTTATTGCGTATTTAGCAGGTATGACTTAACCTCCTTGATTACTCTTTTAAAGCAGATTTTTAAAATTATATCGCAAATTAAAAAGTAAATTTTATCTAAGTCTTCTTTATTAGTTTTTGATTATGTGTTAATTTATAGGTTGGTGGTCGATACTTTCATTTAGTCTTTTTCTAGAGATTTTTCTAATGTGCCTTCTGTTTGCAAATGGTAGCAGGTGCAACTTTTAAATAAAACGCAATCAGGATTATCGTAAATATGCTATATTTTCAATCAAATAAGCAGAATTTCTTGTTGTAATAGGTTATAAGACAGAAGTTATAAAGAAATAAAGAAATTGAGCAAGTCTAAACTTCTTGGAATGAAAGGAATTGAATATTTTTGATACATCCACGACAATGATATAAAAATATTTCGAGTCGCAATTGCAGAGATGAATCACTTCAAATTTTTAGAATGGATTTATTAACTTCATTATCTTAATATGATCCCTCAAATTACCCTGAAGGTCCTCTTAGATATTTGCCTCATAAGAACCCCTTGTTAAATATTTCTCTTGTTAAGGCCTTATATAATATTGCTTTATAAGAACCCACTAAACTATCTTGTTATAAATATATTACTTGTTAAAGGTGCTACTTAACTTCTATCATTACTTAAAGCATACTGAGTTAGGCACGCTGAAGGACTTACGCATGGTAGGTAAGGCACACTGCAAAAGATAATTTTTCAGGCCTACTACCAAAGGGAGTCGACTTACTCCTAATTTTCGTACTCGTTGATGTCGCATGCCGAGACATTTTGGCTGAGTGAACTGTGTAAATTTATAAATCATACTACACTAATTCGAATGAAAAGATAATTTCTTGTCTGTAGTGAGCAATAATGAACGCCAAAAATGAGATTAGTTTTAGAATCTTTCTTGAGCATACTTTCCTTCATGGTAAGATAATATTAGAGATTGCGAAATATGTTTCACGAGATGTTGTTGTGTGATTGTGAAAGCTATTATGCTTTGTCGGTAAGCGAGCCATCCGACTGGAGTTTCATATCAAAAACATAAGTTCATACGGTAATCAATACATATAACCGAAATAATAATCCATACACCTTCCAAACCAAGTGTATGCGTCAAATATCTTAACCCTTTGTGACCAGGCGGACACGCCAGAGACCCCACCTGTATTCCGTCCAAGTGTGATTCATATTTTATGAGCAATTTTAACGCATTTCTTAGCACAATATATTTTTTTAAGCTTCTTAAGACCCTAACTAATGTAAAATAATTGATAATATCTTATAAATGTTTTAAATTTATTATTGCTTAATCATCAAATAACAGTAAACACCAATAAAATGTTTTTTAAAAATAAAATGTATTCGGCAAGGCGAGGAAAATTAATATTTTTCCCATCTCCGAGATATAATACCGCAGGGAATTTGTTTGGGCGCTGATTACGAATCCGTTGTCAGATTTTAGAAATTCAGAATAACGAATCTAAATACTGGTGGACACTAAAGATAAAGAATTTCACCAATTTTCCGTGAAACTAGTATCTAGGGTTTTCTCTCCGGGTCACTTGATTAGAATTCTTATCAGATTTTCCAAAATTCAGATGATCAATCCAAACTAATGGGCGGACGAAAAACTTAAAAAAACTTCATTTTTAGAAAAATTGATATTGAGGGATTTTACGGTCGCTAATATTGAACTCATCATCAGAATTTTCCAAAACTTACGATGGCTGATCTTGAATACACGCAGAACTTTCTGAAAAACCTAGATTTCTACGCCATTTTGAGTTTGCGAAAATCTGGACAACGGATTTGTAATTAGCGACACTTAAAACTGCTGGGGTACCTCAGTTTCACCGGAAATTGGTTAAATTTGAATTTTACTCCAGCCGATTTGCGATTCGCCATTGTTGAATTTTCGGAACAATCTGACAACGTAATTCACGTAATCATCGACTTCAACAAATCCATGCGGCTACCAAAAATTTTTAGAAATGGCTTTTGAAAGGAAAAAATTGTGGCTCAAATGGTTTAAGGTAGTCATATTTTTTGGCCGGTACTGTAGATACTGTACAGAAGTATCGAAAGCTCTGTGAGAGTGTCGTGCTAACGCAGAGGGGCTCAACCCCCGATGTGTCGACAACATTCGTCCTTTTTCGACCGCAGATCGGATAATTCATTACTGAAAATCTGAAGTTTTACCAACAGAT